GGCAGGACATTCAGCAAGAATGTATGTGTTCATTTCTCAAATCAGTTCCTACTTACTGATCTGTTGCCTTGCAAAATGAGACTTTTTCAGTGACGCCAGCCAAATTACGGTGAGTGACAGAAAGTAAGTCTGAACCACACGCAGTTGATCCATGCAAGTTTTGGCAAAGTCAAAAAACTTGGAGAATTGATGAAAGCATTTCAGAAGCGTAGAGAGCTACGGAGTACTGCAGCAAAGAACACACAGAAAGTAACTCTAAAATTGCCACAGCCTTCTGTTAAAAAAGAAAAAGACAGCCACGGTGCTTATGCCAGAAATAATGGTTTTCCTTCCGTGACCTACTGTGATATAGATGGAGGGAATGGGATGTCCAGAAATCAATTTACAACACTTTGAATTCCTTAGCAAAGGAATTTTCTTCCACATGAAGTTTACAGAGCTACACCAAAACAGCTGCTATGCCACATGAAATGGTTTTGTTCCTTCTATTAAGCATGATTTAAATGATTCATTCAATTATTACTTTTGTATTCAAAGATGGCTTATTTTCATGCAGATTTATGTCCCGTTATGCATAGAGGACATTCTTAATTGTGCTGAAACAACTGCAAATTTAATTAAAGTTTGCCATTCCAAGCATAAAATAGATTAAAGAAAATGCTGACAACAGCAAAATAAATATTCAACTATTTAATTTAACTCAACATTTATTTTTAATCCAAACATCAAAATAACCTTGTTTCTAATTACAATTTCATGACAAAATGTCTTGAAGAAACATTTGTCTCTATTTTTCTCCAATCTGTTCAGCTGAAACACACTAGCTTATTTATAAAACTGTTGATTAATAAATCTGTTCCAGCTGTATTACTGTACATTACAAAGAACACAGATTAATGTATGTAAACAAGCATAATAATTTTAAAAACCCAACGCCTTGACAGTCCACAAAAGCAGAAATCCCATCAAATACATTACAGTGCAATTATACACCTAGACCTTAACACAGAAGCAAAATTAAGGGGCAAACATAGGTAGTAAAGTCCAGGGGTCTGTAGCAATTTACAGCAGATGGTGAGATCAACTAAACGCTTACAAGTTATTTGCAGTTCCTTGTACTGGGTATTATTAAAGACTCGAGCACGTGTTGCGACACATGACAATAAGCAAATCCTCAGTTTTGTAAAAAGTTACACTCAAATGAGGTAAGAAAGAATCTGGCCTGATTCTACTGAAACTAATTTGAAAAACTCCATTTAAGTTATGCCATTTAATATTCATTTTAATTTTATAGGCAATAAATTTTATGATTTATAGTTAACAGCCAGGGGAGGAGTAACGTAGACAGGTGGATTTCCTCTCATCAAGACCCAGTAAGTCTGGCTCCGACTGAGAAAAACAAAAATGAGAAGAGAAAGCCCAAGAAGAATGAACACTAACTTAACCCTTCATGTTATCGGAAAGCATTAGTCACGCAGAAATAAAAAGGCTTTCCAAGGCATTGCATACCTTTTCCCCAACAGATTTCAAGAAAGCAGAAGTCCCTCAGCAGCCTAACAAACATCCCAAAAATCAGAAAATTTGGAGGAAAAAAGGTTTTTTTACCACATATTCACAATGATATTTTTTGTAACTTCTGAAAGAAGTGGGTTACACTCTTTTTGGTGATTTTCCCTTCCATCCTAAGGAACAGATTCCCCTCAGGAGGTAACAGACTTCAATGGCATTATTATTATTTACATCAACTGAGGATCTGGCTGACAACATCCAGCTGTTAACAAATTTTAGCACCGTCACCAGTACTTCTAGAGGACGCAACAATCACAGTATGTTTCTGCTTTGAAAGCCAGCAGCCCATCTGGGGCACTTGAAAGTAACCATCAGAAGCCTCATCCAAAGCCATCCAGGACTACCACCACAAACTGCTTGCCAAAGCCTGCTCATTTCTCATTTTCATTACTTCTTGTCAATATACTTCAGCAAAGGAAACTGCTAGATGCAAAATGCTGCAAACCTCATCCCTCTAAGTAATTACTGTGACTGGAAGTTAGCAAATGTGACACCCATCTACAAGAAGGGCGGGAAGGAGGATCCGGGGAACTACAGGCCTGTCAGCCTGACCTCGGTGCCAGGGAAGGTCATGGAGCAGATCATCTTGAGCGCCATTACACGGCATGTGTGGGACAACGAGGGGATCAGGCTCAGCCAGCATGGGTTTATGAAAGGGAGGTCCTGCTTCACTAACCCAAGTTACCTCCTTCTATGACAAGGGGACCCGCTTAGTGGATGAGGGGAAGGCTGTGGATGTTGCCTACTTGGACTTTAGTAAGGCCTTTGACACTGTCTCCCACAGCATTCTCCTGGAGAGACTGGCTGCTCACGGCTTGGATAAGCGCGCTCTGCGCTGGGTTAAAAACTGGCTGGACGGCCGAGCCCAGAGAGTGGTGGTGAATGGAGTTAAATCCAGTTGGCGGCCAGTCACAAGTGGTGTTCCCCAGGGCTCAGTATTGGGACCCATTCTGTTTAATATCTTCATCAATGATGTGGATGAGGGGATCGAGTGCACCCTCAATAACTTTGCAGATGACACCAAGCTGGGTGGAAGTGTCGATCTGCTGGAGGGTAGGAAGGCCCTACTGAGGGATCTGGACAGGCTGGATCGTTGGGCCGGGGCCAACTGTATGAGGTTCAACAAGGCTCAGTGCCGGGTCCTGCACTTCGGTCACAACAATCCCATGCAACGCTACAGGCTTGGGGAGGAGTGGCTGGAGAGCTGCCTGGCAGAAAAGGACTTGGGGGTG